GGGTCTCGCGAGAACGCTCTCGGCGAGGCGCAGCTGCTGGACAGCAACCCGAGGCTGGAAAGCCGCCAAGAACCGACGAACACGTCACAAAACCGACCGCCCCCCCCCCCCTGAGAGCATCCCCCTCCCCCCTCCTGCTCCTACAAGTTGCCAGAAGTAGCGCCGTGAGTGGGCGGCGGTGGGCGTCGTGCCACTCGTGCCGCCTGTCAGAGGCCTCTACCGAGCAGACCGAGGCGCAGGAGGGGGCCCTGGTGTTCATCGCCGAGCGCAGCGGTCCCGCGGCGCAGGAAAATCGACGAGAAGGAGCAGAATGGCGGTTTACCTTGGACACGGATGGAACCGCCTGGGGGGCTGAGGCGGGCCGGGCCAGCACTGGTTCTGGCCAGCAGACAGGGGCAACAGAAAAATGGGCACCCTGGTCGCTGCCGCTGGACGGGGCTCGTTATCAACTTGTCAGTCTGTCGACCCCGGGAGGGGTCTGGGGACAGATGCTGGGCGAACTTGCCCTCATCCCCCCCTCTCTTTGCGGATTTTCTCGGGGCGTGGCCGGCTCAGCCCCCCCAGCGGCCTCCAGAATCCGCCGACCCTGTCGGCGGGTGGAAGAGGCTGTTCCGTTTGACTCGTCGTCGTCGTCGTCGTCGTCGTCGTCGTCGTCGTCGTCGTCGTCGTCGCCGTCGCCGTCGTCGTCGTCGTCATTATCGTCATTATCGTCATTTCAGCGGTCACCCAAACAGGGGACCCGAACAGACATTTCGAACCCTCAGCCTGAGAAGCTCTCAGGAGGCCCCCAGATGTCCTTAAGAGGCCCTCCAAGAAGCCACAAGAAGCCCCCAAGACCCAAGAGGCCCCCAAACTACCCCCAAGAGGCCCTCGAGAGCGCTCGCCGTCGTCGTCGTCGCAACTCAGGGTCGGCGGCACCAGCCGTGAGGCCTTCGCAATAAGAGCCTCCCCCCATCCCCATTCCGGCCAGCAGACAAGGGCTGCCGCTGGACGCGGCTCGCTATCAACTTGTCAGTTTGTCGACCCCAGGAGGGGTCTGGAGACAGATGCTGGGCGAGCTTGCCCTCATCCCCTCCTCTCTTGGCTGACTCCCTCGGGGCGTGGCCGGCTCAGCCCCCCCAGCCGCCTCCAAAATCCGCCGGCACTGTCGGTGTGAAGAGGCTGTTCCGTTTGACTCGTCGTCGTCGTCGTCGTCACGGTCGTCGTGGTCGTCGTCGTCGTCGTCGTCGTCGTCGTCGTCGTCGTCGTCGTCGTCGTCGTCGCCTTCGCCGCTCGCTTCCCCCCTTTTCCCTTTTCCCTATGCCCGTCGCCGTTCCCCCCACTTTTGGCGGGTTCTCCTCCTCGAGCGCGCCGGCCGCAGGCTCAGTCCCCGCGGCCGCCTCCAAGATAAGAGCATCCCCCCATCCCCACTCCGGAAGCCTTGGCGCCGCTGGCCGACCTACACCCCAGCTATAGGTGTGCCATGGCCTCAGAGGGGTTCGCGGCCCCCCTCGCCACCGAGATGGGGGGCACGCCGGGGGGCTAGCTTCACTTGCCCCCTGAGGAGGTGGGGGTGGCTCCGACGATGATGGGCAACGCCGTGAACCCAGAGATCCAACGCATTGAAAAAATCAAGACGGACGTGTTTCGCAATTTTCGGCCTCGAGGGGCCCTCACCGGGACCCGCGACCGTTAAAACACGACTCAGGATGAAAAACCGGTCCTGGGGAATGAGTCGACCCTTCCAGGGAGCCCGTATTGAAAAAATCACGACGTCGGATCTCTGGGAACCCAATTGTTCCTTGGTCCTTGCAGACCTCCGACGACCCATTCCGTATGCCGTTCTCCCCAGTCCTCGAGGCATGAATCCCCCCGTGTGGGATTGCAGCAGGGGCCCGACCACAAGAAACTTTCCACAAGAAACCCAACCCTGCGACCCAAGGACGTCCATAGCTTTTTTGGGTTGGAGCGTCACGCTTGTTCCACTGCAGAACCATCGATGGCCAAGAAACCAAGGGCACCCTGGAGGCAAACAGGGTGTTTCTTGGCATGGGCCCCCACTGATTGAGCAGGGACCGACCGTCCCGGCATTCCTACAGGCCTACCACAAAATGTTCCTAGAACCCACAACTGTTCTAAGGACAACGCCACCGTTCTTAGAACAAAAAGCCCGACGCGTTACAAAACGACAATCTGAACCAGAAATGGTCCAAGAACAGTTCGTGCAGACTCCAAACTGTTCTTAGAATACTCGTTGGTAGGCCTATAGGCGAGCTAGGACGCGCCGCCACTGCTTGACACTGTATTGCTATCGCCCCCCCCCCCAGCGTTGCCCCTGAGGGGGGGGAGGAGGAGGAGGAGGAGGAGGAGGAGGAGGAGGAGGAGGAGGAAGGAGGAGGAGGAGGAGGAGGAGGAGGACGAGGGGGAGGAGGAGGAGGAGGAGGAGGAGGAGGATGAGGAGAAGGAGGAGGAGGAGGAGGAAGAGGAGGAGGAGGAAAAGGAGGAGGAGGGGGAGGAGGAGAAGGGTGTTTCTTGGCATGGGCCCCCACTGTAGAGTGGGTGGGGTCGGAGGACACCGCCGCATCTCCGATGCACCGGCGACGTCAGGATGGACAACACTGGACTCCAGATCGAGCCTCGAGCTGCGCCGCCGATGCGTCGGCGGCTCGGCTCCGGTCGGGCATGTCCCCCTATAGGCAGATTTTGAAGGAAACGTAGAAATAGCCAAGACAAGCACCAAAATGGTCAACAGATAATCGAAGCATCGCCCCCTGACTAATTTTTGGCTATTATTGCATGCTCCTCCTGTAGAAGGACGTGCCCGACTCACAGCTCGGCGCGATCCTCCGACCCCGTCGGCTCGGACCCCACCCGGGCGGCAGAGGACGAAGAGGAGGAAGAGGAGAAGGAGGAGGAGGAGGAGATTCGAGGAGGATGCAGGATGAGATGGCGGAGCTTGGAGGAGACCCCTTCTCCCCCCCCTTGCCTGCAGGCTGGAACCCCCAAGGAGCTGGAGAGGCCTGTGCGCGGCGGCGGGAGCGACAGCCCGACGGACCAGGAGGAGGAGGAGGAGGAGGAGGAGGAGGAGGAGGAGAGGAGGAGGAGGAGGAGGAGGAGAACGCGGGAGGCACGAGGCTCCAGAAGCAGTCCTGACCCCTGCGGCGTGGGCGCCAGCGCCTGCACACGAACGCCCGCCAACGCACTGGCTCGGCCTCGTGAGGAGTCCCCGCTTCATCAGGCCCTGGCGAGCGTTCCGGACGCTCGCATGCGGCGTTCGTGTTCAGGCGCTGGCGCCCACGCCGCAGGGGTCAGGACTGCTTCTGGAGCCTCGTGCCTCCCGCGTCCTCCTCCTCCTCCCTCCACCTCCTCCTTCTACCTCTCCTCCGCATCCTCCTCCTCCAGTCCTCCTCCTCCTCCTCCTCCTCCCCCTTCCCTCCTCCTCCTCTACTCCTCCTCCCTCCCCCATCCTCCGTCCGCTCCTCCTCCTCTCCTCTCCTTCTCCCTCCTGCCTCTCCGCCTCCTCCTCCTCCTAACTCCTCCTCCTCCTCCCCCTCCTCATCCCCTCCTCTCTCCTACCTCAGCTCCTCCTCCTCCTGTCCTTTCTATCATTCCTCCTTCTTCTTCCTCTCCCCCTCCCCTCCTACCTCCCCCTCCTCCTCCTCCTCCCCACTCCTCCTCCTCCTCCTCCTCTCCTCCTCCTCCTCTCCTCCTCTCCTCCTCCTCCTCCTCCTCCTCCTCCTCCTCTTCCTCCTCCTCTCTTGACACAACAGAAAATACGGTTTCAGACGACTGTTGGCCTCCGGGGGTCGTCGTCGTCGTCGTCGTCGTCTCGGTCGTCGTCGTCGTTCGTCGTCGAGTCGTCGTCGTCGTAGTGTCGTCGTCGTTCGTCGTCGTCGTCGTCGTCGTCGTCGTCGTCGTCGTCGTCGTCACCGTCGTCGTCGTCGTCGTCGTCGTCGTCGTCGTCGTCGTCGTCGTCGTCGTCGTCGTCGTCGTCGTCGTCGTCGTTGTCGTCGTCGTCGTCGTCAACTTCGTCGATGTCGTCGCCATTCAGGGTCGGTGGCGCTGGCCGTAAGGCCTTCGCAAAACGATTTTAGACGACTGTTGGCCTCTGGGGGCCCGAACCTTCAGGAAACGTCTCAGGATAGCAAGCGGGCCCAGGGGAAGGGGCCCAGAAATCTGGGGGGACGCGTGGTGCAAGAATCACGGCGTCGGAGCGCTGAGGGAGCAGCCTGATTCAAAGTTCTGAGGAAGCCGCCTGGTCCACGAGCGACGGTGACGCTGGTCACTGTGCCACAAGGGCCGCCTGGCGGAGGTCGCCACTGAGCACGCACGATGTCAAGGGTCGTGCTGCAGGCAGGCCCTGATTCGAGCTCGGGGCTCATACACATCCACCACGCGACTGCAAAACAATGTGATCAGAGACACTTCAACGAAGGCCGCTCGGAAGGGGCCAGAGCAGACGGGGCCGGAGGCTCGCACTGCGTCGTCGATGCATCGTGGATGCATCGGCGACATCGGAATCGAGAAAGATCAGGCTCCAGATCGGGCCGCATCGCCGATGCGTCGGCGACGCGGCGGGATCCTCCGACACCATCTGCCTCGGCCCCGCTTGGGAGGCCAGGATGCAGCAAGCCGCGTGCTGATGGGCCTGTTCTCCACCACCAGCACTATAAGTTGGAGGGCGGAAGGAGGAGGAGGAGGAGGAGGAGGAGGAGGAGGAGGAGTAGGAGGAGGAGGAGGAGGAGGAGGAGGAGAAGCAGGAGGAGGAGAAGCAGGAGTAGCAGGAGGCGGAGGAGGAGGAGGAGGAGGAGCGAGGAGGAGGAGGAGGAGGAGGAGGAGGAGGAGGAAGGAGGAGGAGGGGGGGGGAGGAGGAGGGAGGGGAGGAGGAGGAGGAGGAGGAGGAGGAGGAGGAGAGAGGAGAGGAGGAGGAGGGAGGAGGAGGGAGGCCGGGGAGGAGGAGGATCCCCTCCCCCTCCCACTTCTGGTGGTGGTGGTGGGAAACAGGCCCCTCACGTGCGCCTTCAGTCCTCGTAGTGCTCAGGCGCCGCCTCCCGCAGCAGCGCGGCGAGCTGCTCGGGGCGGAGGCGGCCCCAGGGAGCCGCTGAGGGCGCGCACGGCGGGGGCGGCGGGCTCGCCTTGGCGGCCTCCTCCGCTGGGCTGCGCGCCGGGGCGGGGGCCCGCTGGCTGGCGCCGGGGCTGGCCAGGGAGGCCAGCTGAGCCGACAGGTCCAGCGAGGCGCAGGCCAGGAGCCTGCACAGGAGACCCTTTTGGGGGGAAGCGGCGGTTTAACCCAGGTTATCCGGAGGGGGGAGGAGGGGGGGCCGGCAGAGAACCCAACCTTCGCGCTGTGGGCAGCCCTGCATCTGCCCGCGCCCCCCCCCCACCCACCCCGGACCTGCACAACATCGGGAAGGTTAGGCTATCCTGGGGGGGGGGGGGGGGCAAGCCCGATAACCTGGGCGATCGCCGGACCTTTACAAAAAGACAGTGCGCCTGCAAGGCTGCACGCGCTCCAGCAGAGGCATCGAGCCTGCTGCGCTGTCGTGCTCGCCCTGCTTTCGGAGGAGCGCGCGGGGCTTCCTGCCGAGGAGCGCCTCCAGGCCGTGGTGGAAGTGGCAGCAGTTGCACAGGCGCCCCTGGGGGCAGGGGGTCCCGGTCATGGTGTGGCGGCACGGCGTGCACTTGCCGCGGTGGTGGTTCTTGGACCCACGGGAGAAGGCGCCCATGAGGTGTTTGGAGGGGGCGCCTCCTCGATCGCGCCCCCACGGCTGCCCCGGCTCGCGGTGCTGCCGCTCCTCTGGCAGCGAGGGCGGAGGTGAGGCCGCCAGCGCCTCCCAGCCACGGGCTTCACCGTGGCCTTTCAAGCAGGGCCTCGACCACAGAATGGATTGACCCCCACATTGAGGTTCTCGACGGTTCTACGAACAGATACGAAGCATGTTGGTAGGTCTACGGGGCGATTTTCGCATTTGTCGCAGATCCGGCTGAAGAAAATCTGGAGTACATCCATTCTGCAGTGACCCTACTCGAGCCTTGGGGGGCCGTTAGCAGGTCTCCTCCACTCCGCCGCTGCTGCTGCTGCGAGCCGTCGTGCTGATGGCCGCCACCCATCGTTGATGAAGCTGGGCAAACAGGCCTCGAGAGATTCGGGTTCGCTGAAGACGGCTTTGAGCCGCACATTTGGAAGTGGGCTCTGGGAAGAAGGGAGAATAGGGAACAGGGAGATGGGGAGAGGATGATAGGCCAGCATAAATCCCAGCAGGGTCGAGTAGAGTGGAGTGGGGTAGAATGCGGTAGAGCAGAATGTGGTAGTATTAATCGCCGGGTTTTGATGCCGCGCTGTTTGCTGCAGACGGGGCCGGGTCTCACACGACTCATCCAGAGACCCAGGAACTTCTGGGAACCCTTCCGTGGGAATCCTGAGAGGTCACCCAGATACCTTCCGGGATCCTCAAGAACATCAAGGAATCCTGCAGTGTCCTGCGGAATCCTGAAGGGCCCTGAGAAACCCTGGGGAATCAAGAGAGCCTGTGAGGAAATCTCGAGGAATCATGAGGGATCCTTACGAGTCCCAGTGGATCTTGAATAATTTAGAATATTCGGGAGGTCCAGCGGCATCAAGACCCCTGCTGAACCTGGTGGATCCCTGAGGAGTCCTACAGAATCTCGCCGGGTCCTACGGACTACGCGGGAACTCTGAGGACCCTGGCGGACTCTCACATCAAGGAATCCGTCAGACCTCCAGAGGTTCCTGCTGAACCCTAACGATCCGGTAGGATCGAAAGCAACCGGGAAGAATCCTACAGAGTTCTGGTGAACCCTGTGAAATGTTCACAAATCTATGCGGGATCTTGCGGAATCTAACGGATCCTCGCAGAATCCTAAATCTACTGGAATCGTTCCAATGAATTTCTAAGGGTCTCCAGCAGTCGTGAGGAATTCTGAGGAACCCTAAGGATTCGAGAGGAAGCGAGAGGAACCCCAAGAGACCGTAAGGATCCCTGGTGAGTCCTCATGAATGTGGAAGCATCGTGGCCTGAGCAATCCTGCGGAATCTTCAGGGGCACAACGGTCCCCTTCGGAATCTGAAGGAATCACAAGCAATCCGAACAATCCTGACCAGCCCTGCGGAATCCAGAAAAGTTCTGGGTTACACTGAAGTGTCTTGAAGGATCCTGGGAAGCCCTGCGAAATGCTAAAGAGCCCAGGGTAGCCCGCCAGACCTCTGAGGAAGCCAGAGGAAGTCTGGAGTCCTTCGGAACACTCAGGCAGCTTGGGCAGGAATCCAAGGAAACGCGGAAACTCTGGAGAAATCCTGAGGAACCTGGAGGAATGTTGAGAATCTTGGTGAATCCTGCGGAGTCCCAAGGGATCCTGGGTAATCTTGAAGATGCACACGAAATTCTTCTGGGCCTCCTCAGGGGAGGAATCCAGTGCAGTCTTTCAGAGCACACTGGAATGAGGGGTCCACTGGTTTGCTTCTCCAGGAAAGCCTACATCATCCAAACACCGCACGGGTCTCACATGATAAAAAAACGAGACACCAAAATGGAAAGCGTATGGCTTCCAATAGAAGATGCACGATGGAATCATTGTCATGCGAGAAGAGCTTGCTTCGAACGGGCAACGCGCGGCACTCACACGAGAAGCGTACGGCTTCCACATGTACAACATGTGGTTCGTAATTGGAACGCGCCTGGTGTTCACGGGATGAGCGCATGGCTGTCTTATGAGAGACGCATGGCTCTCACACGAAAGCCTATGGTGTTTGCAGGAGTAGGGTCTTCACGTAAGAGGCGCGTGGCCATTACATGAGAAGCATGCGTATTACACATAGGACGCGCGTGGCTACGATCGGAGGGGCGTGCTTGCTTTTTTGTTGTTGCACGTGGGGGGCATCTGGCCAAGATTGCCCGCAAAGAGCTCCAACGATCACACCATGGCCTCTCACGATTCCGAACATCCGCTGCCGTGGCCCCTGGCACGCTGCGACTGGTAGGGTTTCTGTACTATGCGGAGGGGCCCACCCTCCTCTCGCGGACACCCGCATGCAACACCCGCCCTTCCCAAGGCCACGGTCCCTCGTACGAGAGCAGTATGGGTCCGCACTCCTGGAGCAACGATTCCTCCCGAGCTTCCAAGACGGCACATGCAGGCACAAGATTGCCCAACATGCATCGACAACGGCCCAAGATGGCCCCAAGGCGGCCGAATCTTACTCCAAGGTGGCTCAAAATGCAACCGAGAGGGCCCAAATGGGCAACAGAAAGACCCCCAACAGGGCCTGACTGAGCCAAACTCGTTGATGCATCTTCGGTAGTTGACTGGTCATCGCATTCTCGCCTTTTCGGGCATCCGTCAACTCAAGGCTGCCCAATTAGCCTCCACGATGGTCACAAGGCGGCCAAAGAGCCCCCTAAAAGGGTCCCGAGATGGCCAAAGTGGGCTCCCCAGAGATCCGACGTCGTGATTTGTTCAATACGGGGCCCCCGGAAGTCTCAACCCATTCCCCAGGATTGGTTTTTCAGCCTGAGTGGTTGTTTGACGCTCCCGATGCCCGACGATGGCCCCTGGGGCCAGAAATTTGCGAAAAAACCTCCGTCTTGATTTTTGTTCGATGCGTTGGATCTCTGGGTCCGATACTGCCCAGAAGGCATCCCAGACGGCCCAAGAAGGCCTTCCGCAGGACCCAGGCTGGCCTCGGAAGGCCAGTCGGGGGCGCCACGGCAGCCCCGCGACGCCAGCCATACGTCCAGTAGGGCACCACCACGGCCGAAGAAAGCCCCAGGACGGCGTGGGCCGGCTCCAAACGACCCCCAAAGACTGCCCCAGACGAAGCACAAGGCAGCCCCAGCACGGCCAGCCCGAGCTCCACGTTAGCTCCCCAAACAGTGAAGGGACATGTGACACATGTGACTGCATTCCTCTTCCTCCTCTTGCTGCTTCTCTTCGTCCTCCTCCTCCTACTCCTCCTCCTCCTCCTCCTCCTCCTCATCATCATCATCATCATCAACACCACCATCACTACCACCACCATCATCATCATCATCATCATCAGCATCATCATCATCATCATCATCATCAGCATCATCATCATCATCATCATCAGCATCAGCATCAGCACCAGCATCATCATCATCATCATCATCATCATCATCAGCATCAGCATCAGCATCATCATCACCACACGCACCATCACAATCATTCATCAGCACCACCACCATCACAATAACCATCACCATCACCGTCACCACCATCACCATCATCATCACCACCATCACCATCCCCATCACCATCTCCACCACCATCACCATCACCATCACCACCAGCATCAGATCTCCATCACCATCGCATTCATCATGAGCATCATGATCAGCAGCAACATCATCAATGTCACCACCATCATCACAAACAGCATCGTCAACATCAATATCATGCTCATCATCATCCCCCATAACCATCATAAACCTTGTAATCCTCATAATCCTCTTCATCATCACGACTGGCATGTTTGGAGACACGAAGTGTCACATGTGACGCCCCCACGCGTTCCCTCGAACAACCGCTACCCCAAATGCTGGGCCGGGACAGTGACGGGACCTGCCGCAGGCAGCCGGAGACCTACTATGGCTTAAGATGGCCTCCCTAATGCCACCACTGAGCCATAATGCTGCTCCACGGCGGCTTCAAATGGCCACGACGCCTAAACAAAACACGCCTTGGTACGCCAACATCCTTTCCGCCAACATCCTTTCACAACCATAAGAAAGAAAAAACTGATGGCTTGCCTTCTCGACGTTTCATCCCGATGGGCTTTTGGAACCTCAGGGTAGCTCCAAACTGGCCTCATGCGGCCTCAAACGATGGTGGTGGGGGGGGGCACTACGGCCCAATGACGACCCCAAGAACGCCCAAGAGCGCCCAGAGAGGGCCCTGAGATACGAACGGTGGGGCTCAATCGGAGCAGCGCCAACAAGGAACCACGCCAGCCTGACCGCTGTCCTCCGAAGTGGCTTCAAGAGTGCCCCGAGTGCCCGAGAGGGCCTCAAGAGAGCCCCAGGAGGCCCCGACGAGGCCCCGACGCCCGCAGGCCTCCGGCACCGGCCCGCCCAAAGAGGCAAAAACCGCGCCCGTGCCCCCGAGGCAGCATGCCAGCGAGGGCATGCGTGGTCGAACCCCCGGGGCCTGCGCAGGCGGCTCCGGGCGTCGGTTTGGCGGCTGCCCCCGCCTCTCTTTGCGCTGCTGCGTGTTCCCTGGCCTCTGGGTTGCCGCTGCTTTGCCGCCTGATCCGCGGCCCCGCGCGCGCCCGGGAATTCAGTCGCGGCCGCAGCCCGACCGTGACTGCTCGCCGTAAAGAAAAAAAAGTTCCCTGGCCTCTGCAATTCGTTCGCCCGGGCACCGTTGCTGGACGGGCTGGTGGGAGCAGTTCTCGGTCCGCGGGCGCGCGGAGCAAGTCGACGGCCGGGCGTGCCACGGCGGGCCGCGCCGCCAGCAGCGGGAACAGCAGTGGAGGGAGCGACGCGGGCTGGTGGGAGTGCGCAGCGCGCCGCGAATACCGCGCAGAACCTCGGGCCACTCTTGGTCACTGGCGCGCGTCGCGGCCACGATGCAGAAGCCTGTGCAGCACAACTGGCCTACTGTGCATCAGCTGCCGACCCGCATGAGGGACGCGGTGCAACTCCTGTGCTCCCTTCTGCCTCTGTCGACGCTCCGCCGCATGACTCCGCGCCGATGCGACCCGCTTCAGCGGACGTGCCACTTGGTCTCTCCAGTCGGCGCAAACATATGATGGCACGTGATGATGAGAACCGACGGTCTTCTCAAAGCATCGCGCACATGTGGAGCACCATGACCCTCGGAAACACGTGCGCTTGGGACTAAGCCAAAATAGTGCAGAGACAGGGGAGAGAGGGGAATGCCATCGACCTCGCAAACTTGAGAAACACAACACGGCCTCAAGATCTGGACGTTCGGACCCAGCTGGGCTCTGAAACTCGGACTCAACCTGATTCCACGAGTCTTCCAATTCTGCTCTACCGCGTGAGGGGGCGGCACAATCGCTGGTAGGGTGTTCAACCTTCCCGAACCCATCAGACAACCGATCTGGATCAGGACCACCTACGGCTGCTCAGTGTGTGGCGATGCGGCCACATTCCCTGGGGCCCCACCCGAAGGACCTCGCTTATTCCTGGCGCATGCGCTTCAGAGCCCACAGAGGGCAGCAACTGGGACAGCAACAAGACTCATGACTCCATCGATCTTCTCCCGCAGGCCACTCGTCAATCACCTCGTCCTCGTCAGGGGGGAGGGCTGTGTCTGCCTCCGCTTTCGCACATTCGCCGCGCACTCTCCGAAAAGCTCTCTGGAGCAACGCGATCTACGTTAGGCTGCTGCTGCTGCTGTTGCTGCTGCTGTTGCTGCTGCTGCTCCTTGCAAGGCTCGCTGCGCCTTGGCCCTCGGGGTCTCTGGCCCTTCCTGCGGGGGCGCGCGAGGTCTCGTGGCTCGAGGTGGCCGAGCAGGAGCCTCCAGCCGCCGCGTGGGCAACGCCTTGCCGCTGCTCCCGCCGGTGGCCACGGCGCCGACGCGTGGCCTCCCGGGAGCGCCCACTACGGCTTCACGGCCGACGGTGCAGGGCGCCGCCAGCCCGCGCATGCTCACGTCGTCGATGAGGCTGCCGCGCGCGCGCACGGCGCGCGCGTGCACCGCGGGCCCGCGGTGCAGCGCCAGCACGCGACCGTGGACACGACCGAGGAAGCCAGGAGTGTCGAGAAGCCGAAGGGGAATCCCAATCTCCCACCACAAGCCAAGGTACCTCCAGCGCTCCCAGCAGCGTCCCGAGTCGACGGAAGGTCGCTACGTGCCGACGCATGCGAGGGCAAACGATATCATGAGGATGAAGGAAACGCCCGCGCAATGAACTGCGGATGCAACAAGACCATCCGATGATGCTGAACCTGGAGCTCTGGATGCACTGTCACGGGCCCGGGTCAGCAAACATACCTGCAGATGCTTCTTGGCGAAGATGACGTCCTCGCCTTCGGTCACCGTGGCGATCGTAGCTGCCGACCGATACTGACTAGTGGCACGCGCTGGATTAGCTATCGCGCGACAGGCTTGCCCACGGGCCAACACATACTGATCGCGTAGCTGCGAAACTGGAGGATGAGTCCCAACGCGCCAACATGGAGGCGCGAGCAGAGCAAATCTGATGAAAGTATGTCCAAGCATGACCCCTAAGGCCGCGGCGCTGGACAAGAAAATGGCATGCTTGATATCCTGGTGATCGTGATGCTCGTGACTCGCGGACAACACTGGCGCCTGGCTGCAAGAGGCGTCTGCAGCTGCCTCGCGGCCAGGCGGTGGTCTTCAACCGCTGGCAAAAACTGCGCTCTTGATACAGGCCATAGCTGCAACTGCCGGCACATCCTCCGCCTTGAACGTGGCCGCCGACAGCTTGGCCGCCTCCGCCTTGATCTGGGCGTCGCTACCCTCCTGGAGCTCCCCGTTGTTCGCCTCGCTGTCGTTGATATTAGCCTTGGTCTCGCTGGAGGCTCCGCCGCTGTTGGTCTTTTCGGTGGCGTCTTCGGCGGCTGGGGCAGCCTTGGCCTCGTTGGTGCGCCTCTTTTTGAGGGCCATGCGCATGCCGACCTCGCTGCGAACCTGCGCGGCCTTGGTCAAACATTCCTGCGCCTCGTGGACTTGGCTGCAAGCGCCGTCTTCATCTTGAGTCTGTCGCGGGCGGCAGGTCTGGAGGTGGGCATGGACGTCACGAGGGAAGGCAATGTATACTCTATCTGACGCTTGAACCGCCAACTCCATCTTCGTGAAGGGATTTCGCCGCCAACTCCCTCTTAATGGAAGGATGTTTCTATCAACTCTCCGAATTGACGAACACCCTCGACGGTCTCATTGCCCCCTTTGACGGCCTCCTTCCGAGTTGGTGAACGCCCCTGACGGCCTCCTTGCGGGCTGACGAACCCCTTTGACGGCTTTCTTCGAAATTGACGAACGCCCTTGACGACCTCCCTCACAGTTCACGAACCCCCTTGACGTGCCCTCTAGACGGCCTTTCTCCGAATTGACAAGCCCCCGTGACGGCCTGTCTCCGAGTTGACGAAACCCTTTGGGCCTCCCTCGCCGCAGCCTCCGTCTTGACGAACAAACCGTCGGGGCCGAGCTGATGATTGTAAGCGACTTCGGACTTGACGAACAAAGTGTCGGGGCCGAGTTGACGGCTCCTCTCGTTTTGACGAACGAAGTGTTGGAGCTGAGTTGACGACTGCCTTCGTCTTAGCAACGTAATCGTGGGGCCGAGTTGACGTCTGAGGCGTCCGAGTCTAGATGACGACCTTTTGTGGGCGCTTCTCCACACGTGCGCCGCCTCAGCAACTGAGCCGAATTCAATCTTCATCTGCATTAGCTATTGGCGCGTGCTCCTCCAGATGCTGCTGCCCCGTCCCCTCGCAGTCCAAGATCCCCGCGTCCGCGAGGAGCCGGCCGTCCCAACGCACCTCGAAGCCCTGGCCCTCGGACCTGCTGCCAAGAGCGAGCGGCTCGCCCGCAGCAGCCCCAGCACTCCTGCACTGCGTGCCGAGGACTGGACAGCTCCCTGGCGTTCCTTCCCCGCTGGCCCGAGCCGCGGCGGCGGCGGCGGACCTCGGCACGACTGCCTCGAGCGGCGCGCCGTGGCCCTCCGGGGGCGGGCCCCCTCGCGGGCTGTGGGGCCCGAGGAGGCGGGGGCCCCGCCAGCACCCCGCCCGGCGGAGGGGGGGGAGAGAGGAGGGAAGCGGAGGAGCGACAGGAGGGTTGGGTCGGGCCTGTCCCCCTGCAGGGGGATCTTGGGCGAAACATGGGGCAGATCCACAAGCAAGAACCCCCAAAGCCTCAAGCATGGTCACAACATCGCCCCCCTTCATGATTGTCGGGCTATTGTTGAATATCCCTCCTGTAGAGGGACCGGCCCGACTTAACAGGAGGGAGCAATTCTCGGGCCCTACCTCGGGTCGGCCGTTCGGAGCGATCTGGGCACCCCCAGAACGCTCTCTGCGAGGCGCCGCCTCTCGAGAGCACCCCGAGGCTGCAGCACCGCTGAGGACCGACGGACACGCCCGCACACCGAAAACCCCGAGCCTCGCGCCGAACGCTGCCAGAAGAGCGGGGGCACGCGCTTCCAGTATCGGGGATCACGACGGCGACCGGCGCCCGCTCCCCCACCCCCTCCCTCCCTCCACGCCCCTGGCGACGTCACGATTCGCGCCCCGGCGCCGCCTGGGGATTGGACATCCCTGCGGCATTCCTTGACGGCGCCGGCGCGACTGGTGGGGCACGGCCAGCTGCCTGCCCCCCCCCTCCCCCCGTGGACACGCCCGATGTCGCCAGGGGGTGAAAAAACGGTCTCCAGCCATCCCTGGCCTTAGATTGGGCATGTCCTCCTACAGGCGGATTCTGAACGAAACATGAAAAACAGCCAGACGTATTCAAAATAGCCCAACAAATACTCCGAAAATCGTCCCCAGACTGTGTATGTATGTATGTATGTATGTATGTATGTATGTATGTATGTATGTATGCATGTATGCATGTATGCATGTATGCATGTATGCATGTATGCATGTATGCATGTATGCATGTATGCATGTATGCATGTATGCATGTATGCATGCATGCATGCATGCATGTATGCATGTATGCATGTATGCATGTATGCATGTATGCATGTATGTATGTATGTATGTATGTATATATGCATGTATGCATGCATGTATGCATGTATGTATGTATGTATGTATGTGTGTATGCATGCATGCATGCATGCATGTGTATGCATGCATGCATGCATGCATGTATGTGTATATATATGTGTATGTATCATTAGTTTCCATATTTCTGCTGTGGAGGGACTTGCCCGACCCAACCCTGGCCGCAGACCACCTGGCCGCCGACCGACAGGAGGACTCGCAGGGGGGCGCTGTGGCGAGCCTGGCCGCGTGCGGCGCGCCGCGCGGGGCGCGACGTGGGGCCCCAGGCCTCCGACGAGGCCCCGCGCTCCCGCAGCCCTCCCGAGGCCTTTCGAGCAGGGGCCGACCGCCCCGGCACTCCCAGAGTCTGGGCCTCCTGGACTCGAGGAGGAGGAAGTGGAGGAGGAGGAGAGAGGAGAGAGGAGGAGGAGGAGGAGGAGGAGGAGGAGGAGGAGGAGGAGGAGGAAGGAGGAGGAGGAGGAGGACAGGAGGAGGAGGGGAGGAGGAGGAGGAGGAGGAGGAGGAGGAGGACCCCCTCGCGTCGTGAAGCAATCACGACGGGAGGCTTGTCGCTGCTGTCGGCCTCTGGGGGCCCCTGCCCGGGCCCCGGGCGCGTCAACACAACGACTCGGGATGCAGAGCCGGCCAGGGGGAACGGGTCGGGACCCCTGGGGGTCGACGCCATGAAAAAAATCACTATGTCGAGGGTCTGGGGAGGACGGCGAGGAGGTCTGGTTCAAGAGGGGCGCCATGAACAAAATCATCATGTCGAGGGTCTGGGGAGGACGGCGAGGAGGTCTGGTTCAAGAGGGGCGCTTGCGACGGCTGCCGGGGCGCCTCGGGTCGTGCCGGGGCGCCTCAGCTCGGGCCGGGGTGGCCTCGAGTGCAGCGGCACCAACCTGGTCCAACGGACCCTGCTGGCAGCCTCCGATAAATGCGAGAGCGTGATCCACCGCCGCTTTACTGTGGAAAATTGCCGCTTCATTTGGAAAAAATTACTGGGGTCACCCCCCGCCCTCCGAAAATCCCCCCCCCCTGCTGACGCCCCCCCCCCCCTCCCCGGCAACCCCCCCCCCCCTCCGACTCGAAAACCGGGGGGGTCACACGGTTCGACCCCCCCCCCCCTACGGTCGAACCCCCCCCCCCCCCCTCCGAAAACCGGAGGGGGATCACTACCGGTTCGAACCCCTCCCCACCCCCCCACTCACCGCCAGCAAACGACTCCCGGTCCCTACCACCGTCCGCATCACATCCTCCACTGTTGTTCCCAGCACCACTGTCCTCACCACCACTGTCCCCACTGTGTCCCCACCAGTGCCCCCACCACTGTCGCACTGTCCCCACTGTCCCCACCACTGTTCCCACCACGGTTCCACTCTCCCCACTGTCTCCACGGCCCCAACCACTGCCCGACTATCCCCACTGTCCCCACTGTCCCACTGACTCCGCCGCTGTCCCACTGAGCTGTCCCACTGTTCCCACCACTGTCCCCCCTGTCCCCACCACTGTCCCCACTGTACCTCTGTCCCATTGTCCCACCGCCGTCCTCGCCACCGCCTTTACCACTGTCCCCACCACCATTGTACCCTCCACTGTCCCACTGTTTCCACCTCATTCCCACTGTGCCCACACCACTGTCCCCACCACCACCGTCCCCACCACTGTCCACTGTCCCCCCTGTTCCCACCATTGTCCCCACCACTGTCCCCACCACTACCGTCCCCACCACTGTCCCATCCCACTGTCCCACTGTCCCCACCACTGTCCCGCTGTCCCCTCACCACTGTCCCCACCAACACCGTCCCCACCACTGTCCGCACCCCCACTCGGTTTTCGAGGGGGGGGGGGTTCGAACCGGTAGTGACCCCCCCCCCTTTTCATGATGAACTGGGGGGGGGGGGGGAGGGGTTCGAACCGGTAGTGACCCCCCCCGGTTTTCCGGAGGGGGGGGGGGGGAGGGGTTCGAACCGGTAGTGACCCCCCCCGGTTTTCCGCCAGCAGCGGTAGAACACGCTCTTTCCGATAAATGGGGTCGGAGGATCGCGCCGCGTCGCGGATGCATCGGCGATGCGGCTCGATGCGGTGCCCGAGTTTCTCCACATCGACGGCGCAGACGCATCCCCGACGTCGCAGATGCATCGCCGATGCATCGGCGATGCAACAACGGCAATGCATTGCCGAAGCCGCGCGGTCCTCCGACTCCATCTAGCCGGACCCCATCTAGGGAGCCTCGATGTAGGCCTACCATGACATGCTCTTCGAACCCAAGCATGTTTTAAACAAAGAACGATGTTCTCTCATAACAAAGGCCCGATGTGATAAAACAAGACAGCCTCAGCCAATAAGCTTCTGTGATAACACCTCGTGCAGACCACAAAAAGGCTCTCAGAGCATCATGTGGTGGGCCTATAGGCAAGCCGGGACGCTTCGCCACATCTTGAGGATCCCCGCCTTCCCAAACTTGGCGGCGCGCACAAGGGGGTGGAGGGTGGCGGGAGGGCTTCTTAGAAGCAGGCTGCTCCTTAGAAGGCGCCGGCCTTACATCTATAGATAGGCCCGCGCCTTCTAAGCAGGGGTGCTTCTTAAGAAACCCTCCCCCCTCCCCCCACCGCCCTCTGCGCGTGGCTGATTCAAGCCCCCACCCTCCCAGGGCCGTTTGGGCGCCGCTTGCGCGCCGGCCGCGTCCAGCGCGCCGGCCACCGCCCGCGGGGGGTCGCCGAAGCGCACCTCCGCGAAGAGGCCGCACCTGGCGCGCTGCACCATTGGGCGGGGGGGGGCTCCAAGGGGAGACACAAAAACAGCAACAGCAAACAACAACAAACCACACACAAGAACTAGGCCTTTCTCGAGCTTGCAAGCTCCTCAGGCCTCCTTTCAAGCGTCCTTGCAAGCACCTTCCAGAGGCGCTTCACGCGCTTAAGACTGCACCGCTATCCGGCCCTTGGACGAAAAAAATTACCCTGGCGACGTACCCAACCCCTGCGCAAAAGCGGGGCGCAAATAGTTTAGGATACTTTACAAGGGGGCGATGACGGAGCGAGGGTTGCATATGTCTGCAGACGGAATTCGGGAGACTCGCAGGACACTGGCTACAGGAAAAGGGCTTGATAAAGCTGATGAGTTACAATTCCTGGGCACTCCTAGCCACTTCGAAAATGGTGATCACAGCAGGCCTCGAAAGTGGCGACAGTTTCACAAATCGCAGCCCCGCAGGGATGGCGAGGTCTAATTTGGGTCCGCGCGTGGCGTCACTGTGCCGGGCCCCCCAGCAGGCCTCGAAAGTGGCGACAGTTTCACAGATCGCAGCCTCCAGGGGATGGCGAGGTCTCATTTGAATCTGCCCGTGGCGTCACTGCGCCGGGCCCCTCAGCTGGCCTCGAAAGTGGCGACAGTTTCACAGATCGCAGCCCCCAAGGGATGGCGAGGTCTCGTTTGAATCTGCCCGTGGCGTAACTGTGCAGGGCCCCCCACCAGGCCTCGAAAGTGGCGACAGTTTCACAGATCGCAGCCCCCCCAGAGATGGCGAGGCCTAATTTGAATCCGCGCGTGGCCCTCACTGCGCTGGGCCCCCCAGTAGGCCTCGAAAATGGCGACAGTTTCACAAATCACAGCCCCCCAGGGATGGCGAGGTTTCAGAAGAATCTGCCCGTGGCGTCACTGTGTTGGGCCCCCCAGCAGGCCTCGAAAGTGGCGACAGTTTCACAGATCGCACCCCCCCAGGGATGGCGAGGTCTCATTTGAATCTGCCCGTGGCCCTCACTGTGCTGGGCCCCCCAGCAGGCCTCGAAAATGGCGACAGTTTCACAGATCGCAGCCCCCCCAGGGATGGCGAGGTCTCATTTGAATCTGCCCGTGGCGTCACTGTGCTGGGCCCCCCAGCAGGCCTCGAAAATGGCGACAGTTTCGCAGATCGCAACCCCCCCAGGGATGGCGAGGTCTCATTTGAATCTGCACCGCTCCGGCCCTTGGACGAAAACAACAATAACTACAAGAAAAACGCCGGCCCTGCAGCGGTCGGAGGCGTGCCAAACCTCTCCGGCAAAAAGTCCAAGTAGTGCTCTTTCGGCTTCGCGCGCGCG